GTTGCTATGCAATGTAGTTAATTTTATTTTTGTTAATTTCCATTTGTCTTTTGTATACCTCACAGTTACAATCAAAACGAGAGTGTTTAATATTTAACTGCAAATTTAATTTCTTGTTGACTTTCACGCAGTTTATACATATGGGTTCCTGTTCACACTCTTTTTCAGAATGATCTCCGTTTCCACAATTCAGACATTTCGGATGATTTTCTTTACATTTCTCAGCCATATGGTTAAAGCCACCACATTTGAAACATCTAAGAGTGTTAACATGTTCATACAGGGCGCACTCACTCCATTGTATAAAAACTGTTTTTAAGGCCATAAATTTGGAGAAAGTGTTTGGATCAACTTCAATAATGGCGAAATATTTTTTGATCATTTTCTTGCAAGTTACGAGTTTGAAAATACCCGTTATATCTTTAAGTTCGGCGTTTTGCTTAATGAGACATTCTTTTAAGTCTTCCACATCAAGATTTTGAGCAAGTCCAACAATTTTAATTTTGGGGTTTCGCAATTCTATTTTTTTTATGTGGAAATTATCACCCAGGTTAACTTTTGCTACCTCTTCCAGTTTTCTAGTTTCTTCTTGATTGTTGCATGTTACGGCGATTCCGCTGTCTTTTAAAGGTTTAATTTTCGTAATTCCAACTTCAATTTGTTCAGGTTTGATTTTCTGTTTCAGTGTTTCAATTGTAGCTGATGTCTCTTGCGTATTTTTTGGTCTTAATATAACAACATCTTTCTCACGTTTGACTGTTTCGCTGTATGATTTTTTGGGAGGAAGACTCTGCTCCTGGTTGACTTGAATTTCGGGTATTACCATCGAATTTTGAATTTCAATGAACTTCCCATTTATAGTATCATTGATTTCTTTTTTTCATAGATAAGAAATAATCAGAAAATTCCGCTTTCACCTGGCTGATAATGTTTTGTGGGTCATTTTTCAATTGAAGTTGTGTTGATTCTAGTTTTTTTTTTAAGTCGTCATTTTCCTTCTTAAGGGTGTTATTTGCAACTTTAAGTGTTTGGATCGCATCTTGAAAAGTTGCTTCAATTGTACTGATGTCACGGCAATGATCTTCGCATAACATGACTTTATCCGTAATTGTTGTAAATTGTTTGCCTCTATTTATGAGTTGCTGCATACAACTTTTATGATAATATTTGTCACACTTTGCACATTTTTCATAACGTAATAAAATAAAATAAATAAAATAAAATAAAATAAAAATTTGGTAAACACAACTTGAACTTTTTCTTTGCACTTTCTACACACTTTTTCGACATTTCCACCTGGATCGATGTCTCGAGCATGTTGCGATTGCGACATGGCTACAATACAATAGTTAAAATTTGAGCTTAAGTTTGCATATAAACTGTTCAATAATCAAATTGATAGTGCCGAATTCTTATCCTTATTTAATTTTAGAGTACCTTTGGTACACACTAGGAACCAGGACACAATCTTATGTTCGATTAAAAGAACAAATCTCGGTTACAACACTTCTGTAGTAAATAGAATAGGATTGGCGGTTAATAACTTAGTAGATATAGATATCTTCAGTTGCTCGCAACATATGTTTAACAATTATTTAAGACGTTTGTAGTTATAAGGACATCTTATTTCATATTCTGTTTTTTAAAACTATTGTCTATTTTGGAACTTTGTTCTGTTAGTCAATAAAATTTATTTAATTTAAAAAAAAAAAATTCCCCTTTAAGCTAAAAACAATGAGTTTTACAAAATTGAAATATTTTTCCTTCCCGAGCGTAAGCAAAGGAAGTATTGTAATCGAGTCCGTCGGCCGACTCTCTACTTTTACGTTTTCTCGATCTTTCATGACCCCTAGAAGACGAAGAAATAGGTCTCCCATTTCCGTCTGTCTGTCCGTCTGTCCGTCCGTCTGTCCGTCCGTCTGTCCGTCCGTCTGTCCGTCCGTCTGTCCGTCTGTCCGTCCGTCTGTCCGTCTGTCCGTGCGTCTGTCCGTCTGTCAGTCTGCCCCCGGATTTTTATTAGACAGATAATCTCCGAAAGTACTCGACCGATTGTTGTGAAATTTTGTACTTATATTAAGAATATCATGTAGATGGTAAAACGCTAACCAAAATTTGTCTAATCATCCCCACCACTAATGCGATGTCGTCACTTCAAAATTGTACATAGTAAATGGGTTTTCAATTGTATAAAATAACATAGTCCTACACATGTAGTTTACAACTCTGAATCGACTTTTCACCCGAAACGTCCAGATTTTTGGAAAAAAAATCAATATTATAAAACAACATTTTGAAATTTAACTTTTAATATGCTAACCAGAATGCTTTGAAATGTTGCAGATGTTTTAAGGCTATAAAGAGCATCATAAATCTTTAGTCAAAAAATATTTGCTTATCCCCTCCAAAAACTTGATGACGTCAGCTCAAAAGTTTGTGGAATAAATCATATCTAAAATGTACAAAATATGATGAGTCTGTACTTGTGATCTATCACTCCATTCATATTTTTTGGATTTGCATATACAGGGTGACTCAAAAAAATTAATAATTGCGTAAATATATTTTATTGATTTAATCAGGAACTACAAAACGGAATGCTTCGAAATCTTGAAGATATTTTAAAATTATCATAAGCACGGTAAATTTTTGATCAAAACGTATTTGGTCGTCCCCCCTAAAAAATTTATGACGTCACCACAAAATTTTGCTGAAAAAATCCTATCTAAAATCTACAAAATATGGTGAGTCTCTTCTTGTGATTTATCATTCCATTCAAATTTTTTCGATTTGCATATACAGGGTGACTCAAAAAAATTAATGAATGCGTAAATTTATTTTATTGATTTAATCAGGAACTACAAAACCGAATGCTTTGAAATCTTGCAGATGTTTTAAGGTTATAATGAGCATAATAAATTTTTAGTCAAAATATATTTGGTTATCTTCTACAAAAAACTGATGACGTCAGCTCAAAAGTTTGCCGAATAAATCGTATCTAGAATGTACAAAATATGATGAGTCTGTACTTGTGATTTATCATTCCATTCATATTTTTGGATTTGCATATGCAGGGTGACTCAAAAAAATTAATGAAGGCGTGAATTTATTTTATCGATTTAATCAGGAATTACAAAACCGAATGCTTTGAAATCTTGGGAATATTTTAAAGTTATTATAAGCATGGTAAACTTTTGTTCAAAATGTATTTGTTCATCCCTCCTAAGAACATTGATGACGTCACCCTTAAATTTTGCTGAATAAATCCTATCTAAAATGCAAAAAATATGATGAGTTTGTACTTGTGATTTATCATTCCATTCATATTTTTTAGATTTTCTTAAGAGGTGGTTCAAAAAAATTAATGAAGTCAATTTATTTTATTGATTAAATTAAAGGCAACACTTATTATTAGTATTACACCCCAACCAACCCAATTTGGTAGACACAAAATTTGTTAAAGGAAAAACTCGGTTGAAACATAAGGGTAGCACGCTTATTTACATCGACTTTAACATTACAGACCTGCATTTGTTTTATGCGTTCACTTGGTTCCGCGAATGTGAAATAGACATGTTTATAATCAACCAATTGTGAATTTCACCGTCAAGAATTAAAATAAAACCCAATGTTTTATATAATAAGCGGAAGTCGAAGCAATAAAACCGATGGTCATTTTGTTTACAGTTTCTCTGTTTGACTCTCAGTATGCTGTTACGCCTGTCATATTAAATTAAGAATGTTTATACATACACGATTTTCAGTTGCCTCTGATACGTATACGTGAGTAAATTGTTTCGTTATTTTATTGACTATTACAAATCAATATTCAAAACGACCCAATTCATTTTCCCGAAAATTTGAGAATATAATAATTTTATTCTTAGTATTACACTACATCTATCCCAACTGATATACGTGTCCTTGCAAAAATCTTGATGACGTCATCGCAATTTTTTTTTAAATTCCCACTACAAAAATGTAATGAGAAAAAAAACACAATAGGCATGCAGTCGTCAAGTTTCCGACAGCGAGGGAAGTACTGTCTAAACTCTTTAGACCAATTTTTTTTATTTGCGAAACCTGTAGATGCACTTCTATCTACTTACTTGTAAAGTCGATGTTAACGTTTAGAAAACATATTTTTCTATTTTCAAAGCTGTCTGATAACGTATATCGACGATTTGGTTTTTCTCCAAAAATGTTTTAGCACAAAAAAAAACGAAATGATCGCATTTAAAATATTTTTTTATTGATTATATTATGACTTTTAGAAGAAGATATACATTTAGGTTAAATCAATTCAATGAATGTTTTAACGAAGTTTTACGAAGGGGCATTTCATTAATCCAAATAAAAAATAAGCGTAGAACGAAAATAAAATTAAAAAATATATCAAGGTACGAAAAAGTAAATTTGGTAGAATTTTCTCTTGTCCTGAAATCTATAGCCAACATTGTGCGGATGTCGACTGTGTCAAAGAATTCGTTCCAAAGTTCACAAAAACTGTGCAATCTTGAACAAACCGTTGGGACACTCTGCGTTAACTAAATTGAAGCTTGCCAAAATTTCGATCTCTGCCCTGAGTGTTGTTTTAATACATTGAAACTCGCAATTATTATGAAGCCTCTTCATGTTAATTATGTGAAAAAGAATAAAGAGAAAGGTCAAATAGATACCGACTTAATAGCACAAAATAAATAAATATTCATAAGTCTTGTCATCACGGTTTTGTATTTAAACGTAGAATGGTCAGGGTGTTGTGTCACAAACTAAGTTCAAATAAAATTTCCCTTTAAGCATTCTATTTTATAGCGGTAACTACTACAGTTAGGCAACATTCTATAATACAATTAGGCAAGACTAAATTCAGCTATAATACAGCCTAAAGGTAAAAATTAACACAAACCAATTTGTCAGATGTAGTAATACCTAATTCACGGCGAACAATCCGTACTTCACTATTTTAAAATATGTTTACAACAATAAAACAAAACACTCACAATTAACTACCAGACCAGTAAAAACTGTAGCACTTAATATAGTGTACAACCACAACGAGTTCAAAAACATTGATGATGTTGTTTTCTCAATGCTAAATACGAACTAACAAGTTTGGAAAATCATGACAGAATCTTGTTCGAATCCTGATCGTATAAAACCTGCCTGGGAGCTAAACATAATTATTTAAATATTTACGTATGATTGTACTCATATCCGTAGAAATTTGTACAAGATCACTACAAGTTCAAATTGTTTCATTGGTAGAATTCAAAGTTCAGGGTTCAAGCAAAAATTGTGTATTTAATAACGACATGAAATAATTTTGCAAAACCGTTTTATTTTCAGATTTACTCGAGCCTAAAAATATGAAAATACATAGTTTTAATTAGAAAAAGATAAGTACGGATTATATTTACCGTCTTTTCCGCGTTCCCACAATTACGTTGCTTCATTAATGTCTAATTTCTTTGACAAGGTAAACGAGTTTGCCTAATACCATCCTAGAAAATTATCACACATCTCGCAGATGCGGCTCATGCAACAGTGTATTGTATTAAAATATTCGTTCATGTTTCGTGTTATTTAAGCACAAATACTGTTTTAGTGTCTCGCAGTATGTCTTCTACTCTCGCGTTTAGTTCGTTGCCAAAATCCACAAACACTGAAAAAAATTTTAGAACTGGAAGAAGATCGTCGTTTCTTGAAAGAGTCCGTTGCAAAATTCGGATCCCCTCAAGGCCCGAACTTTCGTTCGCTGCCCGGACCCGAAGTGGAACTGAACGACGAAGTACTCAAGGACAATATATTTTTGCGAAATGCAGGGAATTTCACCTACAGGTATTACTCCTGTGGTACAATGATAACAATTATATAAATTAGCGTATGTCGTACTAATTTACTTGTTGTAGATATCGTCAAAAGTCTCGCCACGTTACTTATAATGGTCGTTACGAAACCACTAGGACAACAAAAATTAACGGTAAAGAAATTTTAGTCGTTAGAGGTCAATTCACTGAGGAGTTTCCGTGTAAATATGGCGGTGTGTACATTAGGACTATTGGGTACACCTTTGACGAAAACGGTTTTCGAACATTTTTGATCGATGTGTCCAAGGTGGTTACTGAGGAAGTACCAATAGCATTAGATATTCCAGCAGCACCAGTATCCATTGCTAGTCGAATGCAATATCGTGGACCAGCATTTAAAAGAACTTCGTTTCCCACTTTGGCGGGTGGAGGTTTGGGATAACACACAGGTGGAAAGAACATTTTGCAGTACTAATAAATATGTGAATGCTTACTGTACATTATCAGTAGAGGATTCCTTGCTGGTTGAAATGTGCCATTACAAGATATGTTGTAATTATTAGTACCTAGTTCATTTATAGTAGCTTTCAACGAAGAAGGTGGCAGATTTCTGTTTATTGTAATAGTGAAAGTTTAGAAACAGTTGTTCGGTGAACATAATAATCTGAGATTTTTCAAATTGAAGTACATTTCTACATACTCTGTAACCTGTTATTTATGGAATGAAATTTTCAATAGGCTGTATAGTGACATATCTATTCTTGTCATTTTAATTACTCTGTAACCTGTTACTTATGGAATGAAATTTTCGATAGGCTGTATAGTGACTTATCTATTCTTGTCATTTTAATTACTGTTTTGTTTTTTAATAATACTTTCTTATTCTTTTATATACAATTATTTTTAAATAAAAGTAAGTTTTTTTATTTCCCTCCACCTTTTACTTCCCAAACTAGAGAAGTACTGCAACAGAATCCATTTAAAGAATGACTAATTTCATGTTTTGTCCAAATTTCATAGTTAGCACAGGTTCTTGCTAAGAAAGAAATTCCAAAACAGGTGAAAACTAAGACAATTAAAAGAATTGTAAAACCAACCTTGAAAGTAAAACATGGAGAACCACAAAGATACAGAGATAAAAACTATTAAACAGTATGGAAAAACGCTTAATAAAAAATAGGAGAAAAAAAACGGACTTCATAAAGTTAAAAACGAAAAGGGAGAAGGGAGAGGGCAAGAAAAATTTGGGGAAAAAAATAAGAAAAGCTGCCACAATTAGAAGGACACTAGATGGAAGAAAAAGAAAACGAATTGTGCAATTATTATTATTTATAAAAAAATATTAAATAAATAACAAACTACACTCGTAGATTACAAAGTGTCAAGCCACACAAACAGTGAATTTTGTGAACAAAACTTCATACTTTCTCTCTTGCAAGACACAACCAACTATTTTCTCATTGCCCTTAATGGTACTGTGAAATTTGTCAATGTAAGGTTCAAACATGCCAGCCCGACCAAATCCAGGTTTAATGTTGACATTGGTATAATTAATACAATGTGGAACTTCGTTAGTAGCAGAAAATTTCTTGTCACATTCACTTTCATGTCTACTTAACTTGGATTGTAAATCATGCCATTTATCACAATCCCATGGATTTCCATACAAAACAAGCGTCTGATTTTGCGAAACCCCTCCGTGGAGATCCACATCTTTCAGTCTGTTAAAAGCAAGAGAAACGGTTAATTTTGGCTGCTCTTGGGGAGTATATATCCACTTAAGAATCATGGGGTTGTTAATTCGATTGTTGCTCAAATCGAGAAATTTTAAGTTTTTCATATTTTTGAACGTATCCTTCTTCACGGTACTAATAGTGTTGTAAGAAATGTCGAAAGAAACTAGTTGTTTCAGAGGTTCTATATTCGGCAAGCTGTTGAGATTGTTGTGGCTCAAAGTAAATTCCTTCAGGTTATTTAACGGTTGAAGCACCTCATCCTGTATGTACCTCAATCTGTTTCTGTCCAAATGCAACGTTTCGAGACTTTCTGGAAAACTTCGTGGTTCGATATGTGTCAACTTGTTGTTTTTCAGCGTTATCACTCTAGTCGATCTAAATAACGGAAATGACGAACCTTCGATCAGTTCTAACAAATTGTCAGATAAATCAAAATTCTCGATGTCATGATTGATGAAGGCGTACTTCTTCAATGACTCGATCTGATTGTTCACAAGGCTTAACCTTTTTAGAGGGTCCATGATCGGAAAATGATACGGTTCAACACTTTTCAAGACATTTCCATAAAGAATTAAATGCTGCAAAGAAAGGTTTTCGTATCGACATTCGTAAAACTCTTCAGTGATTTCTAGATGCTTGATGGCTCGAACAATCATCAGGGTTGTCAGTTTGTGGAACTTATTCAACTGCAACGTTTTCATCAAATCGACTGCGGTCATGTTCGTGTGTCCATCTTCGGAGCCTATCATCATATCACTTACATTTTCAGTGTCGCTCAGGTTTCTGAAATCTTCGAAAGTGTCACATATTGTGATGTATGATTGTCTGCACTGACTACTAACAGGTCGTAGGTACACTACAAACACTAAAACTAAATTCCAGTTGGAAAGGGACAACATTGTTGTTAAAAAATTACCACATTAAATTGCGATAATAAATCAGCGATAAACGCTTGCCAACACAAGCTAACCGACACTGTACTACTTGTTCGTGTCCCTGAGAAAAGATTATAAATTTATCAATTTATCATCGTGGTACTCAGAACTGACCAGGGAAATTTTGTATTGCTCGCGCTGCGGGGAACTTTGAAGTACCTACCTAGTAAATCCTTTTTTTTTGTTGTTGTTGCAATTACATTTAAAAAACTTGTAATTTCGTTTAAACTAGCACTTCTTTAAAATTCATTTATTTTTAAGAAAGTCAGTTGCAAATGTTTTGAATTGACAATTGAAATAAAAAAAATTAACTGAGGTGATCAAAATCATTACAACAGTTCTCTCGTACTCCAATAAATTCAACGTTAAAAAAGATATAATGGTGCAATTTGGTTAGGCGGCGATTTTTTTCATGGGCCCCAAAGCGTGGTAGGCCGTGGTCATAAGCATATCGCATAAAACTTGCATCAACACCCTCTGGCCTTGAATATTTGAGCAGAGTGGAGCAAGCACTAACAAGTGACAGCAATTTTTGATCCAAAACTAATGCTACAGACTAATGCCAAAAGGTCAGTGGCGTTACTAGAAAAATTCTAATAGGGGCTACTATTGAATTAGTGGTATTAAGCTTATTTACATAATATAATAAACAAAATATCGAAGATAATTATTTTTTATCTCGAAATTTGTCACTTAAATAGTTTTAACATAAACTCAAGAAATTTTGGACAACGAAATTGTTTTTTTTTTTTCAAATTTTTGATTTGCATTTTCAACCAAATCCCTCAATGAATGGCTTTTACTGGGCCATTTTATTCTTTGTTTTTTCCTATTTCCTATTTAGCTTTTCTGGTATAGATTTTCAGACGGTAAACTATCATTCTTACATATTTTGTTTTGCTGTGCAGCATGTTGGAAATTGTATTGAGCGATAAGTCGAATTTTTCCTAATTTATTTCTTCATGACTTCCAAAGCACCAGTTTTATATTCTATTAATGCCACAAATTTTGCATAATTTTCATTACTATTCTTCTTAGAGACCAAAGCAACAATACATTTTTTGCGAAAATTTTTAATCAAGCTTTTAACAATGTAACCTGTGCAACTGTACAAAGCTTTTTCTTCTCTCAAACAAAGTTCTTGAAATTCCAATTTCTAAGTAAAGCTAATTTTTTTTCCTTTAGGGACATCGTTTTTTTTCCTGTTATTATTTTTAATATACATAAAAAAAACAACTAAATAATAATAATAATAATACAAAGTAATCCCACTGGATCACATTACACAACACAAAGGTGTTGTTTTGTTGGTTTCGTAACTTGAGTTATTTGAAACGTCCAAATATTGAGAAACTCCAAATTTGGGAAAATACATTTTTTAAACAATCTTGAGAAAATCTTGATGTTAATAAATATGAGCATTTTTTTTCGTTCAAAAACAAGTTTTACAAGTCTAAAATTGATGTCGTAGTCATTATAACACCTGTTTGAATAGGCTTCCAAACTACTTTTCCAAATTTGTCAAGATCGACTTTTAAGTTTAAAAATAACTTAATGAACTCTTGAACGAATTCTATAGTTTCCCTATAGATAGCCATATTAAACTTGCTCAAGTCCAAAATAGTTGATCTAGAACTAATCAACTGGAACCGTCTATGTACAACATCAATAAAAACATCTATCGTTAGAGGAGATATGTCTTCTCTCTCTTGTAAAAGATCCACGTTTCATTTAGATGTAAATTGCAGCTCAAATTTGCCTTCTTCACAAAAATCTTTTAATGTGTTGCACGTCAATAAAGTCAGAAGTTAGTTTATATTTTTCAATAAAATCATTTAGTATGATGATTTTGTTTTGTACAAAACATTGCTTTATATTTTTTAATAAATGTGGCCCATCTGCTAAAAAGTAAATTTTTTCGCCATTAACTGGGTTTAGGACATTTTTGTTTTGCATTTTCTTCCAGCTTCTATTCCAAAGGTTTTCCACATAGCTTGATTCGCCGATCCCATATCTGAGGTTACAGAATGAATTTTCAAACCAATTGCAGTGATTTTCTTCAAAACTTCTTTAAGAACATCAGTTATAACTGCCCCATTCATACTGTCTCCACTAAAATAGTATGAAACGATTTGTTTCCAGAGAGTAGTAATTCCTTCCACAAGAATTACCAACGCTTTTGTCGCTACTCCCTCATGTTTTGGTAAAGTAATTCCCTCAATATATGTCCCACTATGTACACAAAAATCAATCCCAGCTTTTATCCATTTCGTGCAATGCCACCATAAAATCCCTCCCAAAATTCTGATTAAGCGGTTCACATTTAATTTTCAAAGCCCTATAATTTCATCCAAAACTCCAGATTTAAACTCTAGATTTTGTAAATGAAAATTCAATGTTCGAATAGCTGGAAATGGTAGTTTCATTTTGTCTTAATAAGTTATGTCCAATGGTCCGACATCCAAATTTAATGGAGATTGTTTGCTCGGAACATTTTTTTAATTTTTTCCCTTTTAGAGCCTCAATTTGATCCTTTGTTAATATATTTGTCAAATTTTTCCTTAAATTTCCATTACACACTTTTTGCAAGTAAAATGTCTGGCTTAATTTTTTGTTACTAATTTTTAACATTCTAACTTTTTTTCTTAGCGTATCATTTTCTTTCTGTAGCGTTACATAGTCAGGTGATTGTTTGCAGTTTAGCGTTTAGACGAAACAAATTCAGGCCAGAAAGGGTGAGAAGAAAGAGAATTATTTGACAGGGGAGATTCAAACTGAAAAGATTAACTGGAGAGCTTACTATTTCAACTTTCAACTATTACTCTCCGTTGCACAGAGAAAAATTGAAGGAACAGCGTTTTTCTTTAATATTTGGGCATATATTTCCCATTGATCTTCACAGAAATGTTGGTCGCAAACTCGTCCATATTTACTCGGCGCAATGTTCATGTTTTTTAACCATAGTGTACGAAAATATGGCTTTTGTGGAATGGCTTTAGAGAACATTCCATTCTCAGATCTATTTTTTCAACCTTTGACGCTGCAGCTGGTCATCGTTCAAATTTCTACTTGAAGAACGGTTATGAATCTCAAATTGACAACATTAAAATAAAATTTCTTTTAAATAGGCCGTGGAAAAAATGATCCACCAATAAAAATGAATCACACCCTTTGCCTTACTGTTCTCATAATTATTATCTAGGTACATTAGTTACAATTATTGCACTTATTTCGAAACCACTCTGTATAAACATTACATTTGCAGAAATGTACGGTTTCAAGTTTATAAATGCCACTTTAGGAACGGGTTAGGGAAATTAAACTATGTTGTCCTGGACTTTAAACTTTTCTTTAATTAAGTAATTTATCATTCTCTTCGACAAATTTTTTATTGATCAAATTAAGAACCTCATTTATTAGATTTGCTTATACAGGGTCACTCAAAAAAATTAAGGAATCAGTCAGTTTATTTTACTGAATAAATCAAGAATTGCAAAACTGAATATTTTGAAATATTGGTAAATTGTTAATAAAAATATATCTGTTTATTCCCCCAAAAAATTGATGACGTCATCTTAACATTTTACCGAATAAATTCTACCCAAAATGTGGAAAATATGAGTTTTTAATAATAATAATAATAATAAATTCGTTTATTTCAACGGGTAAATCACACAATTACAGAAATAAATTACTCCTATAAAACAACGATACAAAATAAACCTAAATTCAAGAAATATAATTCCTAACCTAAGTTATCTAAATATCTAATTAAGATGCTACATATGTGATTAAAAGAATCAAAATAAATATCACTGTGTTCACCAATGGTATTGAAATAGTTACACATAAGTAGTATTAGTGATCTCTTTAAAGCATTAGAACTACATAAAGGAGAATAGAATGTAATTGAATGTCTACTATTTAGTCTAGGTAATAAAAAATATATTTTGCCTACCAGATATGCACATTCGCTATTATAATTAAGTAAGTTATTCAAGAACTTAATGATGATAATTGTACGTCGGTGCTTAGTGAACAGCAATTAAATCTACGTAATAACGTTCGATGATCACAACCTTGTGGTGGATAGGTTCCATCTATCAAGTAGGAAACAAATTTCAAAAATTTTCTCTGTACCTTTTCCAATTGTTGAATGTGAATAGCATATATAGGATGTCAGATCAACGCACAGTATTCTAGACGAGATCTAACTAGAGAGTTAAACAACGTGAATAAAGCGTGTACATTAGAGAATTCACGGCAATTTCGAAAAATAAACCCGTACATTTTATAAGCTTCGGAAATACATTCAGAAATATGGTTGGTAAACAGAAAATTTCGATCGAAGGTGAAACCCAGATCTTTGAAGATTTCCAGACGACTCAAAGATCCACCTTCAATACAATAATTGAAATTAAGAATGTGTTCTATCTTAGAATATGAAACAATAAAACATTTTGCTTTATTTAAATATAACTGGTTATTTTTGCTCTAAGAAATTAGTCTATTTAAGTCCTCTTGCAACAGTTCACAGTCTCTTAGTGATTTTATTTCAAGAAAAAGTAGTAAAGAAGAGTAGCTTGTAGCTAAGTATTACATCAACCACGTCATTAATAAGAATTATGAACAATAATGGTCCTAAGTTGGAACGTTGCGGTACACCAGAACCAGGTGAAAAAGAATTAGAGACAAAATTACGATGTTTAACAATAATTCTCCGCCCTGAAGGTAAATTTCATAAGCCTTACTAAGGGTTCAGTAAAACCAAAACACCGGAGTAAGATGTAGTGATCTATCTGATCAAAAGCCTTGCAAAAATTAGTGTAAATAACATCTACTTGGTGTTTATGATCAATTGCTTCAGAAACAAATTGACTGAAGGTCGCTAGGTTAGTAACTGTAGATCTTTTCTCAATAAAGCCGTGCTGAAAAGATGATATAAAGCTTTTTATATTGGAATA